TGGGCTGGCGCGGACCGGGCTATGCGTAATGGTATTGGGCCTCTGACAAATAATGTCGAGCTTATCTACTGGGTTCAGGAAGAGAATGGTAGGGGCATTGCTTGGGCCTCGCTACTGGGTTACTTCCACACTGGGCCACACAATCGAGAACAGACCTCCCGGCTAAGCTGCGAGCACAGCAGCGGCGGCTCGCTGGGAAGATTCTGCCGGAGAAAGTCGTCGTCTCTGGCGAAAGAGACCATACTAAGGTGCGAATCGACGGCGGGAATACAGTGGCGTCATCGGTTTGAAGCGATTCGTCGAAAATCGACATGAAATTGAGAAGGCGAGTTGCAGGTCTCGCCGGAGAAAATGAGAAGGGGGCGACGGTTAGGGCTTGTCGGATTTGGAGAAGGTGACCATCCGCCGATGTGCCCCGACGAGGGGAATCCATTGGTTACCTCGAATTCAAGTGATTGGCCGAAAAATAGCCGGAAAATCAAAGAAGATGACCGAATTTTGACTAATTTGTTTTTATATCTACAAACTTTGACCGCTAAATTGATGTGCTTCCGCTAAAAATTTTTACGTGAAATTGCAAGGGTAGAACGAGCTTGACGAGAGCTTCACGATGGTACCAACAGTTTTCTGATCGGGTAACTTTGACCGGCGGCCGGCGGCGGCGCCCGGCAGAGGTTAGACTCTGCACATGCGTCTCGGCGAGAGGATTCCAGTGGTACCCTCCGATTTTCGATAGCCTTCCCGTATTTTCGGGAATATGGACTTGAAGAATGATAGTTGACCGGATTACTTGGATCTGAAAACTTTGACCGGAAAATCGACAGCCTTCGAACGAAATTTTAAGGGGAGATTCTCCTCGAGGAGATCTATCCAATGGTGTAAGAATCTTTCTGATCCGACCACTTGGCCGGAGGCCAGCGGCAGCGGTGGCGGCCGCGGTGGTGCCGGTGGCGGCGGCTGCTCGAGTCGAAGGAGCTTTGTTCGAATTTTCAGACGGAACACCGTTTGGCTTCTCGAACGGGTCCTCACAGACGGCGCCAAAATGATGGGACAAAGATATCACCCGGGCTCCCTCGACTCGGACGGCCACCGTACCTGCAAGAACCCAAAGTCCGGGACCCCGGGAGGGTTGCCCGGCTTTGGGCCTCCGATGCTTAAGTTAGTACTGGATTCATATAAGAAAAAGTAGGGAGAGAGTGTCGAGAGAGAGTAGTAATGGAATAATGAGAGAATCAATAGAATGAGTGTCTTCTTTCCCTTTTTATAGGGGGAGTGTACCTTATAGTCCAGGTTGGGCCTGGCCTAGGTTGGGCTCGACCCATATTATCTTATCAAGTGTCTTAGCTCATGTATAAGCGTATCCTCAATATATATCCATAAAAACCAGTCGGGTACGACATGCTATATCAGATACTACCGGTCGAGCCGACAGTACTAGTCGTGGCTATATCAGGTAGGATATCGTAAGGATAATTATGCCAATAATAACTCAATTTATTTGACATTAACTAGAAATAGATTAACTACAAAAAGGGAAGAGAGATATCCTTCCCAAAATTCATTTTCAATAATTAAATCTAAATAACGAAGCTTGGAGCACAAGAAACGAGGGCCGAGTGGAAAAAAATTAGAATCGGGTAGGTCATGAGGGCCCGATATTCAACCGGACTAAATTCGGTTCATACGGTCATTCCAAAATCACCGAAGGACGAACGTTTGAAATAATCGAGTACTTAACCTATAATATAAGTGCCAATCGATAACGACACCACGACCAATAATAAAATAATAGCCAATAAATATAATCGATAAATAGAATTATGTGAGAAATTCTATAATTCGAACGGGGCGTTACAATCTACCCTCCTTAAAAGATTTCCGTCCTAGGAAATTTCACGAGAACCGGCAGTTACACAAAGAATACATACTCGGGGGAAATTATAAACTGCGAGGTTTGGATACTACCCCAATAACTCACCCTCGCATCGCATCTATCAACACATGAGACTCCAATCGGCCTTCGGTGTATTGACAACATGCTATTGAAATTTGATACTTGTACACCAAGTATCCAGAGTTGCACTTAAATTGAATAAACGGAAAAGAAGATTCAACCAAATACGGAAGCAGTTTTCACCAAGAAATGAACCTTCAGGAGAGCGTCTTTCTCTCTCTTAAGATCTCTTTCATTAATGTAAAATAACACAAACACTATTCAAGGGTTTACAACATAGACTCCCTATACACTCTACTTGAATAGAGATTCACACAACTACTTATCCGACCACAACTCCCTTGTGGATTTCTTAGTTCGAATCCCTCAAACTAAACAGAATGAACCTTCAAACATTCTGTGACAGACTTTCAGAGTAAAGTGTATTTGCTAAAATTCTCACTCCGCTAAATACAGAAACTACTCTCTGAACAAAAAGGATACTCAATAAAAATGGATAAACCAAAAGGATCTGTATCGAGCTCCTTTTATCCTCCGACTTCAGAATGGTAAGTCCCTTCTTTTCTTTTCAACCAAGTCAAATGTATATATGGTAGGTCATTATTCTTGGAGCCGGCGATCTCTCTTTCACGTATTTAAGGAAGTTGAATCCCATCCTTGATTTTATTGACCTGTCCAATATAACCATACGCTGTTAGATATTTGATATATAATATAACAGAAATTTAATTCAACTATAATCAAACTTCCCTTAATTACACTCAGGGTTTTCTGACTGCTGAGAATCCCGAAGGTTCATCGATTTACTGCCAATCTTTAGTACTTACAATCTCCCTCTTTGGCAGATAAATCGAAAACCATGAACCTGCAAAGACGAAACAAATACAAATTTTGCAGAATACACAACTTCCTAAGAATACTAATATCACACATGTGTTGTTCTTAGGAACAACTTCAAAATAATAGCACATTAGTTCACAGAATATCCCACAGAGGTTCATTAAACGCAATATAATAAGGCATAAAGGAAGAAGTTCAAACAACCACACAAAACAAAGTTTTTAACAAAACATAAATATATATCCAGCTGAAGAATGGCTAAGCAGATTCTTCCTCTTTAGACTCGTTCCCTGAACCTTCTTCAGTTCCCTCCTTGGACTCTTCTTCATCATCCTCCTCTTCCTCATTCTCAGCATCAGAACCAACTACTTCATCTTCTTCTTCTCCGGAACCTTCATCTTCTTCAACAACCTTTCCTTTCCCTTGGCTTTGGTAGCAGCATCAACCTTCTCTTTTCCAGCAGCAACCTTCTCTTTTCCTTTTGGGATTTCCGCAGCATTGGACTTCGACTTCTCCCCCTTAGTTGTAACAGTGGACTTCGACTTCTCCCCCTTAGCAGGTAACTTCTTATTTCCAGCAGTAACAATCTTCTCCCTTTTTTTCGATTTAGACACCAAAGGGGCCTGTGACTTTAACGCACCGAGCACCTCTTTATAGTACCTTCATTGATCGGCCAGTTTCTTTTCAAGCCCAGACAGAACATCCACTTGTTGATTTAAGAATCCACGTAGATGAGAGGGAACATCAGAAGCTTTGACAAGAGATGGGCGTGGAGGCGTGGACTTAACTCCAGCAAGGGCAAGTGGCTTGAGCACAGGTGAGAAAGTATCACCCACACGTGGATCCATTTTGACACCAGCTTTGAAAAGTATAGCACAAATGGTAGACGAATAAAGCAGCAATTTGTGAGGCTTGGAAATTTCCGCAAATGACACCATGGCATCAAAGATTACCGAACCAACATCAAAAGGAACACCATTGAGAATGCGTTATATAACACGAGCCTGAGTAGGAGTTACAAACTGTTTGTGTGATGTCGGTGTCCAGTTTGATGCTCCAATTTTCTGTAGTGCAGTCGCAGGAGGAGTGAGACTCTTGACAAACAGTCCTGGAGCAAGCCACTTATTCAATGACCCACCAGTCAGAGTGTGGGCAACTTCATCAAGATCATCAGTAAGTGGAGAGAGAGTGGAACTTTCAGCCATACTAAGCACAAAGTTAATTACAGATGGAGAAAACACAACGATACTATTCCGAACAAAAACCTTATGAAACTTCATGGATCTGGGGTCATAAACAGATGTGGTCAGGTTCGAATAGAATTCATCAACAAGTTGAGGACAATATTTACCCACAGACGACACATAAACACGATATATATATATATATATATATATATATATATACATATATACATATATATATATAAATGCAACTTACACAATGCACATATATTATATAGCACACATTCCTAAAGATTTTCTCAGGGACAAAAATCGTTTCGAATCAAGAGCTTTTGTGAAAATATCAGCAAGCTGATCATCTGTAGGTACATGATCCAACACAATAATCCCATCTTCTACCAAATTATGAATAAAATGATAACGAATGTCAATATGCTTGGTACGAGTGTTGGACATGATTTTTCGAAATATTTATAGCACTAGTGTTGTCACAGAAAAGTTGAGCCGAATGAACGTTCATACCATACTCGGATAAAGTCTGTTTTATCCATACCAACTGTGAAATACAACTTCCAACGGCAATGTACTCAGCCTCAGCAGTGGAAAGGGAGATGCAGTTTTGTTTATTGCAGAACCAAGATACCAAGTTTGATCCTATATAATATTAACCACCAGAGGTGCTTTTTCGATCATCAAGATTTCCAGCCCAGTCAACGTCACAATAACCTGCAAGATGTAAGTTCATATCAGCAGAGTAGAATAGACCATGCTCTGATGTACCTCCAATATACATAATGATATGCTTGGCTGCTTTCATATGCGATTCCTTGGGGGCAACCTGATACCTAGCACACATTCCAACACTAAAGCAAATGTCAGGTCTACTAGCAGTGAGATATAGAAGACTGCCAATCATACTTCTATATAAGGTTTGATAAACAGATGTACCTTCATCATCTGTGGACACTTTTACATGAGTGCCCATGGGAGTTTGAGTACTTTTAGCATTTTCAAGACCAAACTTTTTAACAAGGTTTTTTGCATATTTACCCTGATGCAAGAAAATACCATCTTTACCTTGCTTTACCTGAAGTCCAATAAAGTATGAAAGTTCACCTACGAGATTCATCTCGAATTCAGATGACATAAGTTTAATAAAGTGATTGATCAGCTTCTTGGAAGTTGATCCAAAGATGATGTCGTCGACGTAGATTTGAACAGCCAATAGGTCCTCATTCGTTCGAAGAGCATAGAATGTCTGATCTACTCCTCCTCTCTTGAATCCCTTTTCTAGAAGGTACATGGTAAGGCGTTCATACCACGCACGTGGTGCTTGCTTCAATCCGTACAATGCTTTCTTTAGTCTGTAGACATGATTAGGAATCTTGGGATCTTTGAATCCTTCTAGCTGCTTAACGTATGCTTCTTCATGTAGTATCCCGTTCAGAAAGGCAGACTTCACGTCCATCTGGTAAACAATGAACTTCATTAGACAAGCAATAGATAGAAATATGCGTACGTATTCAAGTCTAGCAACGGGGGCAAAGGTTTCATCGAAATTGATCCCTTGAGTCTGAGTGTAGCCTTGTGCAACTAGTCTCGCCTTATTTTGTGTCACATTCCCGAACTCATCAGTTTTGTTCTTGAAGATACACTTTGTTCCGATAACATTTCCTGATGATGGTTCAGGGACTAACTCCCAGACATCGTTTCTAGTGAATTGCTCCAGTTCTTCCTGCATGGCTAAGATCCAACACTCATCTTTCAGAGCTTCTTTAGCATTCTTGGGTTCAATCAATGAGGTGTAGCAGGCATAATGAGAAACACCCATAAGTTCTTTGACTGATGTCTTCGAGTTTCTGGTTACCCTCTCATTGATGTCACCAATGACTTGCTCCAATGGATGATCTTTTTGAATTCTTAAGGGAGGATCACGCCTAGGTGGTTCTGAACCTTCTTGAGTCGCAGGAATAATGTAGTCAGTTGATGTTTCAGCATCCTCAACCGAAGGTTCAACCGTCTCCTTGTCAGCAGAACTCTTAACATCATGAGTATCCTGCAATGTCTCAACATTTCCAAACTGATTAAACATCACAGATGATCCAACTTGGGAATTTTTTTCATCAAAGATTACATTCATAGATTCTATTACAGTGGAGGTACTCGTGTTGTAAACATGGTACGCTCGACTATTGTTAGAGTAACCAAGAAAGAATCCAATATCTGATTTTGTATCGAAATTCCCAAGTTGTACACGATCATTATAGATAAAGCATTTACACCCAAAAATATGCAAGTGACTGAGATTAGGACTTTTACCTTTCCAGAGTTCATACGAAGTCAGACCAATACCTCGACGAAGGTACAATCGATTCACGAGGTAGCAAGTTGTATTGACCGCCTCAGCCCACCATCTAGAGGAGATTTTTTTGAGTTTAGCATGACTCTGGCCATTTCTTGCAGAGTACGATTCTTTCTTTCAACAACTCCATTTTGCTGAGGAGTTTTAGGAGCTGAGAACTCGTGACAAATACCCAGAGAATCACAAAATTCCGCAAACTCAGAATTTTCAAACTCTCTTCCATGATCACTTTGAATACTTACTATGGGAAAACCTTTCTCAGTTTGAACCTTCAAACAAAGTGACTTAAAGGCAGAGAATGTGTCAGATTGTTCACGCAAGAAATCAACCAAAGTATACCGAGAGAAGTCATCAACACACACATAAATATAGTTTTTACCTTGATAGCTCTCTACCTGAATAGGACCCATAAGATCCATGTGAAGAAGTTCTAGGATATGTTTAGAGGCAATGTGGTTCAGTGACTTGTGGGATGCCCGAGTTTGCTTACCTAGTTGACAAGGTCCGAAAATTGGTTGGTCCTTCATGGAAATCTTTGGAATGCCACTGACTACACCTGCATTGGTCATCTTAACAAGATGAGAGTATCCTATATGGCCCAAGCGTTGATGCCAGATTTCAGGTTCACTCACATTTGAGAAAAGGGGTTTTTCATTAAAATCAACAAGATAACAGTTAACAGTTGAACGTGATCCTGTAAGAACACAGGAACCTTCACTGTTTTTCACATAACACTTATCACATGAGAAACTGACACTAAGGCCTTGGTCACAGAGCTGACTTACACTCAAGATATTTGCCTTTAGCTCATCAACAAGTAACACATCACTTAATTTAGGCAACCCACCCAAATTTAAACAACCTGTTCCAATGACCTTATTGCTCACACCGTCACAAAAAGTGACTTCTCCACTTGAACCTTCTTGAATATTTTTTAGGTACGAAGGTTCCCCAGTCATGTGTCTAGAACATCCACTGTCCATATACCATTTACCTTTCAGAGAGGTCCTGAGAGAGAGAACAGAAGTATAACACTTGAAGGATTTCTTAGCAACCCACACTTGACGAGTTTTCGGACGGTTATCTTTGAAGGTTCTGGTATGAAGATTCAAGGAAATGACAGACTGATTTCAACTCCTCACATTACCTGTACGAAGGTCATGCTGCATTGTATAACATTTGGGTCTTATGTGACCAGTTACACCACAGTAATGACAAATAGGAAGAAAGTATATGATGAGTTTTTCTAAATGATTCCTGTCGGTGACTGAACCTTCAATGGAGATTTAGGAGAGAGAGGTTTACTTACAGTTTTTTTTACAAACCTGTCAAAGACGTTTCTAGAAGGTCTCCCATGCAGGTTCATACCTCCAATTCAGGTTTGTCGCCAAATCCAAGACCAGTATGTTTTGAATTTGAAGTTCCAGTTGAGGACTCAGGAATGTCTTCCCTACCTGTGTACCCTATTCCAGTAAGATCACCATGTTGTTTTCCCAAGAAAAGAATTTCATTCAGGTTAGCTTTTCCCTTATTCAGTTTCCGAACAACCTCGGCAGTACGATTTAGCTCAGCAGAGTTTGCTTTCAGTTTACTATCCATACTGGCATGTTCGTTCATGAGTCAATCAACCTCGTTTTTCAGATTCAAGATCTCCTGGTTCCATTCCGCAAGTAGTTTCTGAGTGGAAAATAGTTCAGACCTCAAGCATTCAATGGTCTCAGACTTTTCCAGTCCATCTTGCTTAGCAAATTTGACACTGCTCTCAAGAATGCTAGTTCAAGCCTTTGCAGTATCTAGTTCACAGTCTTTAGCAGCAGTGGAAGCGGATGTTTTTTCGTTCAACACCCTGTTAGCCCTTGAAAGTCTAAATACTTCATTTTGAAGCTTTTGTAGAGCTTCAGATGCTTGAGCACATTTTTCCATGGCAAGTAAGTGTACTGGATCAGCACACATATTTTGATCTGCTTCATCTTCAGATACATCTGCTTCTTTTAAACTTTCCTCAAACTTGGTCGGAACATGAGAAGTGGCGAGACACATGAACTTCTTAACTGAGGAGTGGATAGCCATATTGCTAGTATGCGATGAACCTTCATCACCGCCCTCCTCATCTGAGTCTTCCCAGGTTGCTTTCAGAGACTTGTTTTTCTTCTTAAGGTTAGCACACTCATACCGAAAGTGTCCAAAACCCCGACACTCCCTGCATTGATCCTTCTCAACTCGTTGTGAGTCAAGTTTTCAGAGTGGCACACTTATTTTCTTATCATGAACCGCATTCTTGCTGAAGTTGTTGCCCTTTTTTGTTCCAGCAAATTTATTCTTGTACAGCCTCTGACTCATCTTTCCATAATTTTGCGCGATCAGCGCTAGTGCTTCTTTCAATTCGCTATCATCAACCAACGAACCTTCATCATCATCGCTTTCTTCTCTTTCTTCAACAACAGCAGCTTTGAGAGCTAGACCCTTGCTTTTGACTTTATCATAATTGTTGTTTATTTCTAAGGTCCTGAGCTCTCCATGAAGTTCATCAACATCAAGAGACGCAACTCTTTGAAAACTCTCAAGAGCTGTAATTTTCTCTCTGAACCTGGTAACAACTGTTCTCATAATCTTTTGAAATTGACGCTTCTCAGAAATTTCTTCTCCAAGCATCATACTTTGATTCACAGATCACAAAATCTGGCATAATATATGTCAGTTGTCTCTTCATCCTTCATTCTGATTTCATCAAATTCAACAGTTACCCGTTGAAGTCTGGACGCTTTGACAACCGTTGAACCTTCAAATTGACGTTGTAAGACCCTCCAGGCCTCTTTTGCAGTTTTGCAATGAACTATCATTTTGTGTCTTGTCTGATCTACTGCCATCATAATCGCATACAAGGCACGATAGTTGACTTCTTCTTGAAGCTTCTCAGCATCTGTCCAATTATCCTTAGGTTTAGGAACCGTGACTTTCGTTATTTATTTTCCTTGATCAGGTGCTTGTGCATGACTGGATGCTCCCAGCCGTTTTTAACACTTTTCCACACACATTTTCCAAGCGATCTTAGAAAATTTGTCATCATAGACTTCCAATACGAGTAGTTCGAACCGTCCAATTGCGGAGGCCTAGACATCGATCCGCTTTCTTAATTCATGATTTGATAGTAACACACGTCTTAGGATCTTCGGTAATAAAGACGAAAACCCGCTCGGGTGCCAACTGAAATTTGATACTCGTACACCAAGTATCCAGAGTTGCACTTAAATTGAATAAACAGAAAAGAAGATTCAAACAAATACGGAAGCAATTTTCACTAAGAATTGAACATTCAGGAGAGCGTCCCACTCTCCTTTCAGATCTCTTTCATTAGTGTTAAATAACACAAACACTATTCAAGGGTTTACATCATAGACTCCCTCTACACTCTACTTGATAGAGATTCACACAACTACTTATCCGACCACAACTCCCTTGTGGATTTCTTAGTTCGAATCCCTCAAACTAAACAGAATGAACCTCCAAACATCCTGTGACTGACTTTCAGAGTAAAGTGTATTTGCTAAAATTCTCACTCCGCTCAATACAAAAAATACTCTCTGAACAAAAGAGGATACTCAATAAAAGTGGATAAACCAAAAGGATCTGTATCGAGCTCCTTCTATCCTCCGGCTTCAGAATGGTAAGTCCCTTCTTTTCTTTTCAACCAAGTCAAATATATATATGGTAGGTCATTATTCTTGGAGCCGGCGATCTCTCTTTCACGTATTTAAGGAAGTTGAATCTCATCCTTTATTTTATTGACCTGCCCAATATAACCATACGCTGTTAGATATTTGATATATAATATAACAGAAATTTAATTCAACTATAATCAAACTTCTCTTAATTTCACTCGCGGTTTTCTGACTGCTGAGAATCCCGAAGGTTCATCGATTTACTGCCAATTTTTAGCATTTACAGCCACGATCATCTAAAATCAGGGGTCGACATGTGGCATTAAGTCCCAGTCCCGTACTCAGGTCACACTGGAACTTGCCCAATGCCACGTCATAAACCGTGTGTCTCCGACATAACGATCGACACGGTACTATCAGTCTAATCCCATACCACTATCACTCTTCGTAGTCTTAAACCCAACGAAGCGGAACATAGTCTTTAATCAAGACTCAAGACTCTGCCCAGCATCAATGTGGGACTTCTATTTCGCTACCTCAAGAAAATCTCTCATGTGGCAAAGAAAACTAATCGACAAGTCTCACATAATCGAGAATAGTTGATTAGGGGATTCACACAAAGGTCCACTGGAACTTGGAGCTCTCGATTTAGAGCTCCAGAGAAATAATTTAAAAGGTCAGCATACAATTTGACCAAGGATACTAGTTCAATGACCCCTAAAGGACAAAGTCAGTCCGGGGTTTCATGCACTGTCACCCGAGAGATGGCACACACACTGGCGCTGCATAAGTAGGGTGCTGGGACGCGTGCGTGTACCCACTCTGATATCAGCTGCAAGGTCTAGGTTTGGTCGTACCCGCTGGCCTGGGGAGTTCCTGCGTTCGGTGATGGGGTCTGTAACACTCATGTGAGTCAACAGTTGGCCCTGCAGTTGGCCTCATGTCTCTCAGCACGGCATGCATGCCCGACCGCCACTTTGTGTGGCTACACCCAGCCAGGGTGAGCGATCGATTCAAGGTATAGATAAAAAATTTCAATTTCAAGGTTCAAACCAACCT